GGGCCAAGTTTGAAAAACACTGCTGTAGTCTATCTGGTGATGACAGTAGGGGATTGCATCCAAATTGCTGCTCGGCCCTCACTTTTCCAAATAAAGCCTCCTTTTAGGCTAATGCCTTCATGCGCCTTGACAAAGATGACTGTAACACGCTCCGAATTTGCACGACAGGAAGCCACTAAACCCAAACCAAGTCTAAAACCACCACCCGGGTCGAGTGAAACTTTTTTGGCCACGCCGTCTCGGCTGGCTGCTGCGCAGCGCACCCCTCTCCCTCGGCGTAACCTTCTCTCCTTCCTCCCTTTGCAGTCGAAAGAATCGTCCTCCGTCCTGAGTTGCGACGTTTCCACAGACGACCAGTTCATCGTCACGGGCTCTGGGGACAAGAAGGCGTCCGTTTACGAAGTCATGTACTGAAAGGCACCGACGCGTCGCTGCAAACCGAACGCAGGGGAAGGAGCTGCCCTTGGAGCTCCTTCTCGATTTTTCCAGCCAAAGAATCCGCTTCCGGTCCAGGAACGGAACCCGGAACCAGGACGCTGTGTTGGTCGTGGGAAGATGGTCCTTCTCCATCTTCTACTCGACCTGATGCTTTCGCGGAGCTCGGGGGTTCTTGTTCCGGGATGGTGGGAATAGGGGTTGGCTCTCTTTGGTGTGCGTGTGCGTGCGTGCAAGTGTGTGTTCACATCGAAACTCCTTGGAAAAGTTTGTTGTGTATTCTAACTTTTTTTTTTTTTTAAAGAACTTTCAATAAAAAAGATGATGGTGTTTGGGTTATTGCTCCATCTCGGTCCTTTCTGTTCTTCGAGATTCCTTAGTCTGAAAAAATAAGAGCACAGACTCACTTTTGGGGTGGGGGGTTCAATAAAGTCAAGATGGCACCCCACCGCTTTGCACAATGCAGAGAAAAAGGGGTGGGGCTTCCCTCAGCAGCGGGGGCCACCATCTTGACTTTAGTGACCTGTCCCTGCCTGTGTGTGACTCTCTGAAAACCACCCGGGTTTCTAAGTATGTTGAGAGTACAGGAGAAGAGCTGAAACCTTTCAGGAAGTTGAAGACGAAGGCGGGTGAGGAGGAAAGCAATGTGGACAAGATTGTAATTTTTTTCCCCTTTTTAAAACGCCTCCCGTGCTTTGGGACACAAGTGCGGATCCTGGAGGGCCGTTGGAAACCTAGAAAGCTGTTTCCCTAAGCTGCGGAAAGATGCAAATTTCACGGGAGGCATTTGCTGAATGGCAAAGGGTTATAACTTGAATTGTGGGAATTCCAGCCAAAGACTTCTTGAAAGGCCCTGGCTGGATGCCCGCAATAGGCAGAGCCCAGGTTAATAAACCACAGTTGTGGCCCTGTATACCATTATAGCTCGACGTGGGTGGCTAGTTTCCGTCTCAGGATAAAACAATGGCTGAATCACACAACAGACCGGGCCATAAACTACGCATAAAGCATGCAGCCACCAGAGCAGGGCTGACCTGATAAATGAGGGTTGGTTTTTTTAATCTATGAGGACTAGAAGCATGCCTTGTTTTTAAGAGGCTGCAGTTCATTGGGGAAAAGCAGCTGCTGGTCTGTGCAGAAGGTCCTGGACCGAATCCACTTGTCTCCAATTCTTTTGAAGCTGTCGCGAGTAAGGAGGCATTTGTTTTAATGAAATCCACAGCTCGCTTTCCATGCCAAGATATGCAGAGATCTGAGCGACAACTAGGTCTTTCAAAGCTAACTAACCGGGACAGGCTGTTGTTTTTCGTTTGGCTTGTGGGCAGAAGGATGCTGTCTCTTTTCGGTTTAATTTTATTCCAAGATTTTTTTTTTAAAGTCCAGAAACTGCAAAAGGAAACCAACTGAACTACGAAAAATAAAAACTAAACATAAATGTTGATAACAAAACAGAAAAAAAGGAAAAGTGTGACTGATTTAAACACCATGTATGGTAGGTTAAAATGATAACCGATTTAAGCGCCTATATATCAAACCCTAAATATGAAAATTTCAGATGCACGAGAAAATAAGTAATGTTGTAAAATATTGGGAAATCTGTGTCAAAGGGACACACGTTGCATGGTGTTATGGTTAGTAGAAAAGATGTCTTTTCAAAAATGGGCAAATCGCACTCGTCCTGGATCCAGTCCTTAATACACAGAATTCTTTTCTGATTTCTCAAAACGGTTCTCTTGGCCATTCCCCACACCAGCTATAGCCAAAGTTCCTGAAAAACAGTTCAATTCCACAATGGGATCGTTGGGGGTTAGAAGGAACCTTGTCTGGCTGCATTGACTCACTTTGTCAGTCTAAAGCTGGCTCTGGAAGGAAACGCTGATGTTGAAGAATTCGCCTGGCTTTGACAGCCTTCAACAATGAGGACTAGAATCTTGCCTTGTCCAGCATGGAAGGAAAAAGACGTAAGAAACATGGCTACGTTTGGACTGCGGGATGCACAATCTCTTTCCACTATTGCTTTTACATCTGGATTCCTTGGAAATGAGATGATGGGGATTCGTTTGCAGCTGAAGGGAGCATCCAGTTCCTCACTTTCCCCTGGAGCTGTGTTTGGAAATCAAAATTTAGCGATCTGCCCATCAGAGTCATGCTTTTCTTTTTTTTTTAAACTGGGTTATATAAACTTCATCTTTGCAGGTGGCTGTATCTGGTTAATCTCACCTGAGCTGAGGAGCTAAGCAGGATCTGAGCTGGTTAGTGCATGAATGGGAGACCACTAGGAGATCTCAGAGATGCAGGCTAACCTGGGAAGTCGGTAGGTAAAACAGCCCCAAAGCAAGCACCGGTGAGCCATTCCTCTGCCAAGAGAATGGCGTGGGTGCGTCCGTGTAGTGGCCAGGAGTGACTCGCCTGTTTGATAAGCTAGATCTTAGCCACATGATCACTTCAAGTCTCCCATCACGCAGGGTTGTTCGCGGAAGAAATCCCACGTTTTTAAGCAGACCACCTCTGCACGACAATGCCACTTTTTGTAAAGAATTTGTCTTAACAGTTGAGTAGAAAGGTTGATTTGGAATGTGGCATTTTGCACGTTTCCAAGAAGCTGGGGGTTATCCTCGTGAACCTTAAGCACCCCCCTTGCTGCAAGGGAGGGAGCAACCTTCAAGAGTGCAACCATGAATCTCCATGAGACCGTTTGGGTCTTTTAAACAGGAAGAGTTGCATTAATATCTCAAAATCCATAGAGGAGGTCTGAAGCCAGGCTAGATCAAAACGGCCAGACCCACCTCCCATAATACGAATTCGAATGGTTGTGCGCCTAATTTGTGCATTATTCCCCTTTCAACTCCAAACCTAGATGTACAAAACGTTTATTTTAACATTTAAAAACAGCTAAGGCTGGTCTTGCGGGGTTTTCATTTTTAATCATTAAGCTAAATTAAGGGGGTTGCACTTCCTCCCGTGTTTAAAAAAAAAGTCTCATTGTCAACGTGACAATGATTTCCCCCTCAATTTTATAACCAGCACATTGACAGTGAGACATTTTTTTAAACACGGGAGGGAGCGCAACCCCCTTAACTTGGTTAGTCTATTTTTCTGAGCCGCTCGTACAGCACGTTGATGCACCAAACCAAGTCCACCAAAAGAGCTGAGAGTTGCAGGCAGAGTGTTGATTGTGTCACTGAGGCCACCATGCTGACTTTTTTGACCACACCCAGTGGATGCCCTTGAAGCAGGGGAATGACAGGATGGCGGATGCAGAGAGCAGAAGAGGGAACTGGTTAAGTTCCGCGCCAGCCGTTTCGTGAATGTGCAAACCAACCCAAGGAGCCATTTTGCGAGAGCGCCCACATCGTTACAACCTTCCCAATGCACCTCCAGTCCCAAAGAAATGGGGCTGTTCCCCCATCACATGAATGGCTAATTTAATTTTTAAAAAAGTGAAGAGTGGTGGATTGTACAGGGTGCATCGCTCTGAAGGGGCATTCTCTCACCCAAAAATAAGGATATACGTTTTACACTGCTTTAAAGGTGGGCCAGTTTATACCGTGGGGGGGGGGGGCTCTTGTTCTAGATACATCAAGTCCATTGAATGGGATTTAAAAAAAAAATCTTTACAATTTTTACGTTTTTATGTTTATTTCGCCATCTATGCATTTAATGTTTGGAATGTTCCTTCTGCAAACACACCGAGCGAATCCATTTTTGTACATTATGTTCAGTGCAAAGAGAAGTCCAGAGGCATGCATCTGTGATTTTCACGTGGCCGAAAAGCTTCAACCACCAACCGGGGCCACTGATCTTGCTGACGAGGATTGGTGAGAATCAGTAGCCCCTAATATTTCGGCTGGAGTCTCATCATGGGCTTAACCAGGTGAGTGGGGGAGACTCTTGTGTGGTCCTGCTAACCTGGTTAGTGCTTGGGAAAGAAACAGACAGGTTTAACCCCAAACCGTATCAAGGTAGTTATGAATCGAACTAACTTGGGTCAGCCAAACCAGGTAATCAGAGAGTAACGGCCAAGACCGGCTCACTCAACCCTCCAAGGGAGCTGCGGAGAGGCTGGACCAAAACGGTTCTGGTCCAGCCCGTTGGCAAAAAAGTGGGCTCGCTAACTAACCCCACTGGTGGCCCTTAACCCGGTTAATGAGATTGCACACTGCTAGATCCAACAGAACAGAGATTTGACTGGGTTAGTGGCTGAAGTTGAGGTTAAAGTTGAGCCCAGCCCTAGGATGCTGTCGTGGCTCAAGACTGCTAGAAAGTAGGAGCAGGAAGAAAAGTGGTGCCGAGTGGAGAATCTCCCCACATCTCTGTCCTGTAATTTCTGGAATTACCCCACTCCCCCCTTCCCCAAAAGCTACAGATCTACCTGCAAGGCGTAAACACATTTAATCATTCGGGACAGTCTCCGTCATCACTTTTTGCTCGCACCCAAAAATGAAAATAGGGGCTGTAGCATTAGGGTGGCCGGAATGGGGTGGTGGTGGGGGGCTATGATTAGCATGGTGCGGATTGACCCCTTAGCTTGTCAGGCACAGGGTTGAGGTGGTCTTCCGGTCCATTCTGGGGGATAATGAGAAGATTTTGCTCAATCAGGGACCTCAAAGGACTGGTAAGGGAGGTCCCCCATCTCGCCAAGATGCAGAAGAGAGCTTTCCCCAAAACAGCACGAAAAGGGAGCTTGTATACGCCCCCTTGAGGGGAGAAAAATATCTTCCTGAGAATGTCGGCTTTTAAGTTTCTAGTCCTCATGCGTCTGCAAGGAGGCCTGGAAGCGCAAAGGCCATTTCAGCACCACAATCTCCAAAGCCAGCGGGGGAGATACTTTTTCTCGGAGAACGGAAAGCTTTTGGGGAGAAAGATTTCATCTCGTTGTTCTCGTCCTCCCAGCCATCAAAGGTTTGGCATGGGGAAGGCACAGGAGTGCCCGCCCCCCGCCCTCAGTACACCAGTTCGTAAACTGTGGCTTTCTTGTCTCCCGATCCGGTCACAATAAACTTGTCATTGCCCGAGATGTCACAGCTCAGGACTGATGAGGATTCTTTGGACTGCAAAAGAAAGTGGCGAGATGAGGAGAAGAGGGAAGGAACGTTTTTATTCTGCTGCGGTTCACGCTTGGGAAATTAATCTGATTTGCGCAAGATGTCTCGCTTGGCAACTCCAATTACTCGTGCCTCCTGTTGGCAACCTTTGGTGCCCCCCGAAGCAGTGAGTAACATACCGAGCCAGCCCTGGATTAACCATTAAGCAGAATCGGCACGTGCTTAGGGCACCGAGGGAAGGGGGGCACCAAAGAGATTTTCCCCCCTAGCTATCATGCCCTTAATTCTTTCACGGCCCCACTCGACTTTAATTGAATTTTTTATAATGGTCCTTATGCGCCGTGTTCAACTTTAATCTGCATGGTTAAAAAACTTCTTCTTTGGCATGGTGAGCGACTAAAGGCTGTAAATTTGGTTTGAAGGCGCCACGAGATACCGCATTTCTTTCCGTCTCGTGATGTGACAGTTTCACTTCTGTCAAGGGGCACCATTGTTGGGCATCAGCTGGCCTTAATCCGGCCTTGTCCTGAACTGTTATTTGCAGGGTTCAGGATCCCTTTGGCACACGCAAGGAAGTTCAAGGTGTTGCCAAAACTCGCAAAAATCTTAAAGCAAGAACAGGGACCCCATGCCACATCGGATGCTGCTGAACTATGGTTCCCAATATTCCCCATCACTGGCCACGGTGACTGCTGCAAGTTGGAATTCGGCAACAACAAAAGATGACAGATCCCCCAGGTCTCTCTTTAAAGATTTATTTTCTGTGTTGCTATTGTTAGCCACCCAAATTTGCACTGTTATATAGGTAGCCCTCGTTTAGCGACTGCTTTGTTTAGCGACCGTTTGCCGTTACGACAGTGATGAAAAAGTAACTTTATGAGCAGTCCTCAAATTTATGACCTTCACAGGTCTGTAAAGCCAAAGGAAGCTGAAGTCAGATCATAAGCATAGCCACGGTTTCACTTAGCGACCGAGTTGCCGGTCCCAATTTTGGTCATTAAATGAGGACGACCTATACTCATCTTATCAATAGATAAATTTGGCCTAATGCTCAAGAAGAGCCTTCCATATACTTGCTGTTGGAGGAAGGAAGCAAGGTGCATCAAGTGGAATTTTTATGTGCTTTTCTACCATGCATAGTTCTTGCAGGATGTCAAGAATGGGGGAGGAAAGCATTTCTCCTCCACCTTTCCAGGAGACTGCTATAAATTTTAATCACTAGGATGCCCTGAAGTTGTTGCACACCCTCTTTTTCCCCAACCTGCTTTCATGAGACTTTCTGAATCTTCCACATATAGAAATTAGATGAAATTTACATTTAAACATTTACATTTAAATTTAGATGATGACTTACAGAAAGGTATTATTAATACTGCAAGCCACGCCTTTGCTGAACTGATTAAATTTGCAATTCTGTGTATGGTTTCTTGGGAGCAAGCCCCCTCATTTCAGGGGGCTTACTTTTGCAAAACCTTCGTAAGGCTGGACTACAAATTTAGTCCTCACAATATATCAAGTTCTAATCAGTCAGTTTGGTCTAGTAGTTAAGAAGGAGAGAGCCCTGAGTTTTAATCCTGCCTTAGGCACAAAGCCAGCTGGGTGACCCTGGGCCAGTCCTGCTCTCAGGCCTAGGAAAGAGGCAAAGGAAAACCATGTCCAAAAATCCTGCCAGGAAAACTGCAGGGACTTGTCTAGGCAGCCACAGGAGCCAAGACTGACTTGAAGGTGCATGAATATAAAATAAAATAAAATAAAATAAATAAAATAAAATAAAATCAGGAGAACCTAAGCAAGGGTGGTTTTCTGAACAGACCAAGTTTAAACCATGCATGGTTTGAACAATATGCAAAATACATTTCTAAGTCCCAGCTTTTGAAAAGGGGGTGTACGGCCAACATCATCCCCATTGTTATGCCAAGAGCAATATTCAGAAAGATGCCTGAATATTACTGATGAAGGAAAAGTCCCAGCCTTCTCTGGTAGCTCTAAGAAGTGAGTCACATTTCAACCTGGGCCCTCTTAAAACCAAACCGGGCTGAATCAATTGGACGGTCTCCTTTCCACCCAGAAATTCCCAGCTCTTTTGCATTTTCTGCAGAGAGCCACAGCGTTCACCCAGCCACCGCGCAACCCTTGCTCTCCTTTACCTGAAAGATGCTGGCACCGTAGGGAGCCCGCCACGCATTAAGCAGATTATCTTTGCCCGTGCTGATAAGCCATTTGCCTGTAGCGAGAGAGGAGAGGAAGAACAGAGGGAGGACTGGGTCTGCGTGCGAGGACACGATGGCTGGGAAGGGGGAGAGCCAGCTTCCGGAGCTCTGGCTCTGAAACAGAACCACCCCAAGCCCAGCCCGGCTTGTCTGATGCTCAGAGATAGACTGCGTTGGGGCATGGAGGCTTCATTGGGTTTTCGGGATGAATATGCTCCTGCAAGAACTTCAAAAGGGCTCGGGTCGGCTGGACCAAGCCTCTGTGAAGCTCACTGCCCTGTTTGCAAGCAGAGCTCCAGGGTCCTGCAAAAATGTCCCCATGAAAGCCAAGATCAGGACAATACTTGGGAAAATAACCTCAGTCCCCAGGATTCAGAAGGAAAGAGAGGTCGCTACTCAGAAAAGCTCCAGGGAGAGCAACCATAATGAATAAACTGAAATCCTCCTGTGTCCCCCTGCCCCCCAGTGTATTTAGACATAATGTCTATGTAGGAAACGTGATTTCTATTTAATGTTACTTCTTTCGGACAGGGGCTCCAAACTGCCCACCCAGGTTGCCCACTTTTGTGCCACCCTCTGTATGATACGCCGCACCCTTACCAAGTTTGGAATTTCTTATGACAGTATTTTATTTTGATTTCTTTTTATTCTTCATTATTTTAGACCCTATTACATTTACTGTTTTTCTGCCATCTCTCTCTCTATGTAGAAGGATGTAACACTGCTTTTATTAGATATTTTGACTGTATCTGGCCTTAGGACTGTAATAAACTTGATTGATGGACATAATATCTTTTTTAAAGGCACCAGCTGGTGGCCGGCGCTGCTAATGTGGCGATGAGTTCCACCCGCACTGTGGGAACATGTTCTTCCTTCAGTTTCTTTGCAACACAGAGCCAATCTATTGGCGTCATTTGCCTTGAAACTCAGGACCTCCCCAGTGAGCACTTCTTGTAAATTTATCATCATAACACAGCTGTCTTTCTTTCCCCGCACAATGGCTGCATTCAGACAACACATTAAACCTGGTAATTGAATTAACCCATGGGGGGGGATTGCCCAATACATCGAACCATGAACATATCCAACAGGTTGCTTTGCATTGCTAGCCCACCAACCCCCCCCCCAGCAAAATTTAAAAGAACCAAGCTTATTACGCTGTGCAATGGTGGCTTGCAAGCGAGCTGGCTAAGCAGGTTGTGTGAATGCAACCACGGTGATGACGCTTTTCTTAGGAAGGTAGCCTGGAGCTTAACCAGCAGCCTTGTCTGTCTTACCCATGCAACAGCTCACACACCTACCACAGGAAGCAAATTTCAGGGAGAGGACGCAGCTCTCGTGAAGGTGGAGCTGGTACTTTTCAGATTTCGTCACGTGGAGGATTTCCACGTTGCTGCTCCCCATTCCGACCGCCAGCCACTCTCCCGTGGGGCAGTAGCCCAGGGAGAAGATCTGGAGAGAAAGGAGGAAATTGATGGGACAGTTTAAGATAAAAAGGTTTGGGACTGAATGATGGCCATTTGAAACACACAAAGCAAAATTCACAACCAAAGATTCTAGTCCTCATGGTTGCAAAGTTAACAGCTGGGGGGGGGGTTCTATTTGCATAATTCACTTAACCAGATTAATTCAAAGTCAAGTGGTTGCATTCCTACCACATGCTAAATGTTGTTGTTTTAACCTTGGCCTGTTTTGGGGAAGGGAGTGGCTGATAGTGTCATATGAAGCCAGCCCTTTATGGTTCATTGTGAAGATGGATTAATTCAGTAATCATGTTAAGCATGCTGGGGGAGTATAGTCTGGAAGGAACCAATGGGAGAAGATCTGGGACGTTACGGTGGGAAAACCAGGTTTGATTCATGCAATGCACTAAAAGGGGGTTGAGTAGTTTGTGGCATGTGAACCTAGCCCTTATATTTAAATGCAGTGGGAACCAAATCTCTACATTAATCCAAAATACAGATTGTTGTTTGGGTATAACATGTTTTGGGAACAGAGCTATTACGCTTCATTATCCTGGGTTTAAGGTCTAGCAAATTGTGTGAGCTGAGCCACAGAGCCTCCTTAAACTACAACCCTCCAGAGCATGAATCGCCCTGCATCTTACGCCATCTGCCATGATGTGCAGATTTCATGCAACTTAAAATGCACCCAAACATATAAAATGAGACAATGCATTAAACTAAACCACATTAAGCAATGGCTAAGAGATTGGTGAGGCTGAGAGAATGAAGTCAGCTTCATGTGCATTAAAAGCCGAGACAACTGCACCAGATTTGATGCTGGAGAAGGATAAAAACACGTTTAATAAAACTACAGGTGGTCCTTGTTTAACGACCACTCACTCAAGCGACCGTTGAAACTTATAGTAGTGCTGAACATGGGGGACTTACAACTGGACCTTGTACTTACAGCCATCACAGCATCCCCACAGTCAAGCGATCGTGATTTGTGACATTCCCTGCCAGCTTCCCACAAGCAAAGGCAATGGGGAAGCTGGCAGGAAGTCACAGTCACGTGTGGTCCTCATTTAACAACAGCAACTGGGACTGCTGAAATTGCTATCGCTAAGTGGGACAATTATGCAGTTTTTCAACTTACAACCACATCGCTTAACGATAGAGTTTCTGGTCCCAATTAGTGTTGTTAAATATAATTACAGGTAGTCCTCACTTACTGACTGCCTTGTTTAGCAACCGTTTGAAGTTATGGCAGTGTAAAACAAACAGCTTTACAAAAAATCCTTGCAATTACAACAGTCACAGTGTCTCATGGTCATGTGATCACCATTCACGTGCTTCATGAGTTACTGGAGAATGCAGAAGTAAAATTGCAAGTCGCGGTCACGTGATGTCTCACTTAACAACTGCAGTGATTCACTTAAAACCAAATGGGAAGTGAGATCATAAGCCCATCGCAGTCACATGATTTTCCACTCAGCGACACAGTTGCTGGTCCCAATTGTGGTCACTAAGCGAGGACTGCCTCTAATCACCACCATCCTCCCCAACTCAAGTGTGACACAATCCCGCCCCTTCTCGGCACTGACTAGTTGCTGCTGGAGACCCCACCCACCCACAGGCTGTCCGTCAAAAGTCTCCACCCCTTCCCCAGCCAACCTGGGAGCTGAAGTCGTGCTGCTGCAGCTGCCGGCCCTCGCGCAGGTCCCAGCACCGCACGGTGTTGTCCAAGCCCCCTGTCCAGAGTTTGGTGCCATAATTGGAGATGTCGATGCAACTCGCCCCATCCGTGTGACCCTGGAACTGCCTGCAAAGAAGAGGCAGACGCGAGCAAGAACTCCCACGCTCCTTATTTGTTTTGACTCAATCGTAATATCCCCGCTCTAATTGCCCCCAACATCATTACGTTTCCGGATTTTCCCACCTTGTACAGGGTGGCTTTCCCAACATGGAAGCAATGCAAACATAAAGCCA